CACCAATAGCACCATCATCAACATCAGCACCATCATCATTAAGATCTAAATCTTTATCTATAGCATCATCATCAGCAGCATGAGTAGGAGGAGAGGACAGTATCGAGGAAATGGCCATTGGTTTCTATAATTGTTAGTAAATCCATTCTTTCATGGTGGCAATGTAATACATACTTGATTCTCACCATTAACATTAGACACGTCTTGATCTTTATCCAATGAACCTAATTCAGACATGGCGAATGATTAGAGTAGGACAAAGTGATACTTGAAATGGTTGATTTTGTTGTTGATGAATATCTTGTTAACCGCTGTGTTTGAATTAGTATCTTTGTTGTGAGTTTGTCCACTGTCCACCAAAGTTTTCCGTGTTGGCAATTGACTTCAAAATTTTCGTTTTCGTTGAATTACTTTTCGCTTTTCAAATGAATTGCAAAGGAACTTTTTGAGAAAAGAGAGAAAATAATGAGAACACTGAGAAGATAACAAAGAAAGAGGGTTATTATAGTGGTGTTGATATTGTTATAGTATGGAGTGTATAATGTATGATAATATCTATACTATCCAGTTTATTCTACTAAAATATCTTTAGTTTTGATCTAAATATTGATCTATTCATTCAATATAACAAGTAACGAGATTACGAGAATAGTCAATATTGAATAGTAACTAAAACACAACAACACAATATAACTCATATTAGAGTCTAAACAGTATATAACTCGAACATACTATTATAAGTATAACACATTATTTTCTTAACTAACACCATCTTATTCTATAGTATTCCTTCTTTTTGATCAGCACAATCTGTATGCAAACTTTGTTGTATACTACTATTTGAATGCAAACTAATATAATGGTAAAGTGATTGAAATAACTGAAATATAGATGGGTATATATAAGTACATGGAGGTGATAGCTATGTAATTATAGAATATACTTTATTATCTATACTACCTTGTTAAGTTTAATAGTTCAAAAGTTATTCTCTAAACACCACCTCATAAACTCCTTTCCATTGTTAGGGACTCCTGAAAATGAAATACTAAGCGCTGTTTTTTTCTTTCAAATTGCTCGCGAGATCTCGCGAGTCTGAGGTTTTTGTGACAATTATGGTAAGTGAAATATTTTAAATTAAGATGGGTATATATAAGCTAGTGAGATGGATAGTGTGTATTTTACTTAGAATATTTGGCTAAACATGTTATTTATAATTATGTGTTGTACGTTTCCTATATCCAATTTAAATTGTTTATTTTATTTCCTGGATAAGTAGAGTGCCAAAAAATGTTAATTATGGTGAAAAAAGGGCGCGGGTGGGATCAAATAACTATACATAGACAATTTGATTATAGTAACTAGATCATTAGGCAACATATTCAATTACAATGTACTTATATCTACACTATAGAGTATAAAGAATTATCTCAAAATTGTATATCAAATCATACCAATTTATGTTTTAAAGTAATCATCTATCTCTTATAAAAGACCAATGAATATACTATTAAATTTGGTAATAATATAGATCAGTGATCTTATCTCAATAGTTAATCCTAGCTGCAGTATATTCACACTCAAATATAACTTTGAAATTAATCATCTGAACTTGATCATTGTTTAATAATCATGATCTATTAATATGCAGAATTTTATCCCATTGAAGATCAATTCAAAAACAAAAGTCTAAGAGGAAGTAATAACTCTAGAATTTATTAAGAATTACAATTCAAATATTCTTGACCCCATATTTAACTAATTCCATCGTTCAGTGCACATTGAAAAACAAAACACCAATGCAAATGCTATTCAATAATAAATACAATATCATCAGAACTGAAAAAATATTTACATGGTAAGTAATTGATTCACATTTGAACAAAGCAAAATTTCATGAAGCTTGTTGAAATTCGCGAATATCGAACAATTGTACTAAAGAATACAATCAAATAGAGACATCTGTATATTAATTAAACTCAATCTACATTTTAAATCATTAAATTAGTATCTTAAAAAACTTAATATATATTAGATCATACCAAAACAATTTAAAGTAATCATCTATCTTTTGTGAAGACCAATGAATATACTATTAAAATTTGGTGATGACAGATCATAAGCTAACCACTTATTATTCATAGCTTGATATTTATTTCCATCAACTTGGAGAATATTCCATGATCAGACGTTATTGAAATTTATATCAGCTATAATTAATATTTATTTCTCAAATCAACCAACGTTGACAAGATAATAGAAAAAGAGAGAGTAACTGCAAGTCATATTATTCAGATCTTTACCCTTAAACATGGGCTTATACCAATGGTCTGAAAAACAGGTGGATTTAAACCATTAGATATCAAATTAAAAACAACTCGAATCAAATGCTTTAATATATTGGTCGTTTACTGCAGAAGAGAAAATTTAATTTTTTTAATGAAAAATTCTTGATTGTATTCATTTATTATATAATCATTATATAATATCAAGGATCCGTCAGGACTAGAATCAATAGATCCAAATTCCATAAAGTGGAGCTAAAAACGACTTTATATTCGAAAATTAAGATCATATTCGAATAAAGATCTATTTATCAATTTGTAGAAGTTACTTCATTTGATACAGTTCTGGGAATTTTTATTTTTTAACAGGGGGATATAAACCAAAGTAATTATAATATCTAGGAACCATGGAACCATGGTCAATCAGCTATAAAAGAGAAATGTTATAGTACATGCTCTTGTAAATGTAATTGGAAACTCCTAGAATGGGAACTGAAAATATATTTCTTTCTACATTAAATTAGTAGCTGTTAATTGACTCAAAATTGTATATTAAATCATACAAAAAGAATTTAAAGTAATCATCGATATCTCTTATGAAGGACCAATGAATATACTATTAAATTTGGTAATGATATCTCAATATTTAATTGTAGTAATTGTATAAAATGCACACTCAAATATAACTTTGAATACATTAAAAGCAATTAAAGAATCATTTATTAGAAAATCATACTTTGATTTCCAAGTTTATCCAATATCTTTCAAATGATGAAATAACAAAAAAAATTATAAATTCTCATGGATTATCAATGCCATTAGAATCAATCATTTGAACTCTTAAATTGTTTGATTAGGATCATATAATTGGACACCAAAAACAAAAAGGACTATACTGGCATGTTAAACCACACTAATAATATATCAGAACAATTAGTCAAGACTCAAGTACCATTTCAACTAAGGAAATATTAACAAAACAAAATTTTTATAAACTAATTATACTGAAATTCGCGATCGTCGAACAATTGTATAATTTATAAAGAATATATAATCAAATAGAGACGTCTTTAACTCAATCTACATTTTAAAATATTAAATTAGTATCTTAAAAAATTTTATATATTAAATCATACCAAAACAATTCAAAGTAATCATCTATCTTTTAAAAGACCAATGAATCTACTATTAAATTTGGTGATGTTATCAGTCAACTATATTAATATAGTGTACCAAATGATATCTCAGAGTATGCTAATGTATTTGTATAACAACGTATACTCAAAAATAACTTTGAAATTTATTCAACAATGAACATATAGGCCACAAAATTTGCAGTAAAGGATGTATCTTTTATGAAATTTATTTTATGATTAAAGCTCAATACTATAACAAATTGATATCTCATAACGTGCGGGCACAACTGAAAAAGTACTTGAAAGTTATCATGCTAACACCATTGCGGAAGCAATGGATATAAGAATTAGTCGATTCATAGGAAGACCACCAAAAAACATAAAGTTTCCATTATTTGGATCTGATGCAATCGTTGAGCACTAGAGCTAGCAACAGAAGTAAAACTATTTTAGCTGGTTCAATTTTTTAAATAATTGCGCGAAAATTTAAATACAAGAGTTATGTAATCAATAATTAATATTTACTCATGGTTGAGTTACATGGTTTATGATTAATTAAAAAGGTGATTATAGAGTACTTAATATTCAGGACGACGTAGTTTACTAATTTAAACGTTGAGAATATCAATTATGGGTAAAAAATGTATATTAAATCATACCAATATGTTTTAAAGTAATCATCTATCTTATAAAGACCAATGAATATACTATTAAATCTGGTGATGATGTATAAGTCAACTATATATTAATATAGTGACTGTTATATGATATCTCAATAGTTAATTGTAGTTGTATAAACACACTCAATTATAACTTTGAAATTCATTTGATCAAAATTAATCAACAAGCGATTAAGCCGGAAGATGCTATATATGTGAAATAAACTTTTTACCACTTCTTGATATAAACAATATAGCTGACGTCTGTTAATAAAGGCATCAATTTAAAGTAGCATGTCATGCCATCTTATAAGAAACTCACAATAAACTTGCCAATATTCGACTTTCGAATTCAAGAATGAATTTATTTCAGTATCAAATTTTCAAAAACATTAAAATTTAAAAATTCGCGATAAGTATTATATAATAATTATACCAAATATTACGTAATCAACAAAGGACAACTACTCAGCTGCTCAAGTTTCAACACATAATTGCCATCAATTTACTCGAAAAGAAGATTATTCGTTTAATTAATTGATCCATTCGTTAAATTCAATCATCACATCACAATATCCCCGAGGAAAACCCCTTATCAACCATCAAATTTACCATAAGTATTCAATTTCTCAACCATATACGGCCAAAAACCACGCAATAAAATATCATCGAATGATTCTCGTTTAAGGCCCCGTATAACCAAAGAATATGGTTCCACTTTAAACCTTGATACACCGTTTAACGTTTAATATGCATATTTCAAAGATAAACAGATAGATAAACATCATAACATATCATGTGGTCTCGTTTAGTTCGTTTAAGGTGTGTTGTAAGAATTCATATAAATTGAATTAATACCCATCAAGTTGAAGTCAAATTATATATTCGTTTACATCATCAACAATAGCTTTTCATTCAAAATGGATATTGTTTTAGAAACTTTGGATTATTATGTATTAGATTATACATATGCAAAACTTTTACCAAAAGATGTATCAACAAATTATTTATCATCAATTTTAAATAATTCAACAATTGTTCAAAATTTATTAGAAAATGATCAATATAAATTAATCAATGATTTTACAAATCAATTTACAAATCAATTAACTTCAGGAGATAAAGATGTTTATGGGAATATTCCACAATGGTTTGATACAACTATTTATACATCATCATCAATCTTACCAAGATCAAGTATGATAAGACAATCAATTAGTGTTTTCTTTATCTTATGGGTTTTTGGACTTTTATTATATTTAGGTACTGCAACATTTAGTTATATTTTCATATTTGATAAAAAAGTTTTCAATCATCCAAGATATTTAAAAAATCAAGTTTCTTTAGAAATAAAACAAGCTTTAGGTGCAATTCCAATAATGGCTGCATTAACAGTTCCATGGTTTTTATTAGAACTCAAAGGTTATTCAAAATTATATTGGGATATAAATGATGCAAATGGTGGTATGAAATCAATTTGGTTACAATATCCATGTTTTATAATGTTTACAGATTTTTTATTATATTTAACTCATAGATGGTTACATTGGCCTAAAGTTTACAAAATGTTACATAAACCACATCATAAATGGTTAGTTACAACTCCATTTGCATCGCATGCATTCCATCCAATTGATGGATATTTCCAATCATTACCTTATCATATTTATCCATTTTTATTCCCATTACATAAGGCAAATTATCTTTTATTATTTACATTTGTTAGTATTTGGTCTGTTTTAATTCATGATGGTGAATATGTTTCAAATAATCCTGTGATTAATGGTGCTGCATGTCATACGGTGCATCATTTATATTTTAATTATAATTATGGTCAATTTACTACTTTATGGGATAGAATTGGATTTTCTTATAGAAAACCTGAATTTGAATTATTTGATAAAAAGACAAAACATTCAAAAGAAACTTGGGATTCTCAAATTTCCAAGATGGAACGTATAAAAGAAATTGTGGAAGGTGATGAAGATGATAGAATTTATATCTCTGATGTAAATACCAAAAAACATAAATAGATTTACATACATAACTTTAATTACACGTCTATTATCATCTATATACAAGTACTTTTTTCATTAATAACTCATCAATTGTTTAATCATCAAGGCAGAAGCAACACTAACATTTAAAGAATCAATTGTAGGATCAACATTATTACCTTTTTCAATTTCCACAATATAATCACTTCTTAATTTAATTGTAGTTCTAATACCATCCCCTTCAGAACCAACAACTAATAAAGTTGGTGATTTAATTAATAATTGATCTAAATCATTAAAATGTAATGCTTTTTGTTCTAAAGTTTTATTTATCTTAGAATCTTTTGGATGTGATGCTTGACCTGAACTTATAATTTTCCAACCTTTTTCGGAAGAATTATTTAAAAATTTTAAAGGTGAATCAACTTTATAAATTGGTATAAATTCTGAAGCACCAGATGAAGTTTTAACCACAGCTGGAGTTATACCAGAACTGTTTTTTGAAGAAACTATAATAAAATCAACACCAAGGAAATATGCAGATCTTATAATTGCACCAACATTATGAGGATCACTAACTTCATCAAGATAAACACCTAATGGGAATGGATTTGATGATGTATGATACTTGGAAACTAAATCACCTAAATCATCATGACCAACTGAATATGTTCCATCTACTGTATTAAATTTCCCTAATTCTAAAATAGTATCAGGTATAAGAGGTTTAGTTTCTAATACAATACCATTATGAACTGAATTATTTGTTAAAATATTTAATTCATTTTTATCTTTTGATTCTTTGATTGGAATTTTTAATTTTGATGCTAAATCAAGAATTTTTTGATCTTCAATTTTATAATTATAATATAATAATTTTGTGAAAAATTCTCTTTTATTAGATTTTAATGCTGCATAGACTGCTGATGATCCATAAAGAAAATCTGATAATGGTGAGGTTTTTAAACCACTATAAGGGTTTCTTGAATATGATTTTGATTCATATCCATCATCTCTGGTGTCATATTTTGATTCAGATCTTCTGTCATATCTTGGTTTATCAAATGATCTCTTATCATCTCTTGATTCAAATTTTGATGGTCTATCATATGATTTTCTATCATCTCTTCTATCAAATCTTGGTTTTTCATATGATTTGTCTCTTGATTCATATCTTGGTTTCTCAAATGATCTTTTATCATCCTTTCTATCATATCTTGGTTTCTCAAAAGATTTACCATCTTTTTTATCAAATGGTTTCTTATAAGAGTCAAATTTATCATTACTCTTCTTATCATCTTTATATGAATCCTTTACTCTTGAACTATTTTTCCCATTTCTACCATTAGGATTCCTCTCTTTTTCTTGAGCATGATGATGTGCATGTTTTCTCTTGAAATAAGTTTCTTTATCTTCACCAGTTTTTTCCCATGCTTTAACTTTCTTATGAATTGGGAAATTTTTATTAAAAGTTTCAGTTGTATTTGATCTATTTGATTTATTACCTGTGGTGAATGCTGGTAAGATTCTTTTGAAATGAGTACTTGACGTACTAAATCTTCTGACACTGAACATAACTCAACCTAAACACCTCAACAACTTCAAGCCTTCAAAAGTAAAACCTATATATTTAAAACAAATCGATGAGTATAAAACATTTTGTATGTATAATAAATTTAATTTTTCACCCTCGGAATGATCACATGATTTCACCACCTCGGATTTCCCACTGCATGTGTTCTTATCAAATCAGTCATAATTTAATTTCCATAATAAACTCGATGATTTGTACTTGTATTATTTTATATTATTTTGTATTATTCTATATTATTTGTTTTATAATGACTGAAGAATTCAAGAAGAGAAAAGTGGAAAATGGGGATGTTAATAGTAATGGCTCAGCTCCAACACATCCAGAAAGAAAGGCATTCATAAGTCGTATAACTAATGAAACCAAAATTCAAATCTCAATATCATTACATGGTGGACCAATTACAATTGAAAAATCCATATTAGAAAATAAATCTTATGATGCAACTCAATCAACTTCATCACAAATCATATCAATCAATACAGGTGTTGGGTTTTTAGATCATATGATTCATGCTTTAGCTAAACATGGTGGTTGGTCATTAATTGTGGAATGTATTGGAGATTTACATATTGATGATCATCATACAACTGAAGATGTTGGTATTGCACTTGGGATGGCTTTTAAAGATGCCTTGGGACAAGTTAGAGGTGTTAAGAGATTTGGTTCAGGTTATGCACCATTAGATGAAGCTTTAAGTAGAGCTGTTGTTGATTTATCAAATAGACCATATTCTGTAATTGAATTGGGTCTCAAGAGAGAAAAAATTGGTGATTTATCATGTGAAATGATTCCTCATTTTTTGGAAAGTTTTGCAGAATCAAGTAGGATTACTTTACATGTTGATTGTTTAAGAGGTTTCAATGATCATCATAGAGCTGAATCTGCTTTTAAAGCTTTAGCTATTGCTATTAAAGAATCTATTTCAAGTAATGGTACAAATGAAGTTCCTTCAACAAAAGGTGTGTTGATGTGATCCTCTACTTATATATATAATATTCAATAATCATGATATTTATTTGGAAAAAAATTCTATGTACATATGTTTTGAGGTTAATTCATCTCTTTTTTTGACCTTCTCTAATTAAAGCTAATAAATCTTGAACAGTATCTCTTTTTTCACGATTATTAACTTTTGATCTATTAAATTGTTTTTGATTATTTCTAAAATAAGTACTATCATTACCTAAAGCACTTGAAATATGTCTATTTACAACATCTAATTTCAAATTAACAGAACCATCATCTTGTAAAACTGCTCTTTCAACACTAAATGGAACATTAACTTCTCTTGGAACTTTACCATCACTTTGAGTTTTATTAAATTGTAAATTTGATGAAGTATTTGAAGTTTCACCGAAAAATCCACCAAATGCAACAATTCTTGAATTTGGACTTGTTGTGGCAAAACGACCTGTACCAATAAATTTTGATTTGATACCATTTGGTGAATTTGTTAAACGACCTTTTAATCCATATGATAATCCACCAGTACCTTTAACTAAACCTTTTCTTAAATTTAATTGATTAAATGAAGTGATTGGTTGTTCAGTTTTAATTGAACTTAAAAAATCAATAGCATGACTTGCAAATTCCTCTTGTGTAAAACTTTTATTTTTCAATTGAATTGGATCTTTCTTCAATAAATATTTTTCAAATTTTACTCTAAGACCAGAAATTGAATCCAAGATCTTGTTCAAATTTTTTGGAGAAATTTCATCAGTTATACCCATTAATGAAGCTAATGAAGTAAATCTATGAGAATCTGCAACGTCATTGAAAAATAAAGGATTTTTTCTTGGTGTATCAAAATTTGGTACTATATTCATTTCTTGAAATCTTTTTTGTTTCCAATGGAATGAACCACCAGTTTCAAAATCAACAATACGTTCCATATTATCTAAATCATTAAACGTTATAAAACGACTTTTGATCTTTGAAGGTAAAGAAGATTTTAAACCCCATTCATCTCTTGCAAGGGCATTAGCTCTTGTTTCAATAATTTGTTGGGATGGGAATTTATTACCTTTGTGTTTGGAACTGTTCTTAGGCAGAGCAGAGAGCCTAGAGTTTCTCAATAGTCTAGTGAACTCGGACATATTGGTAATCTGATTAATATCCCTGAACTGAACTTTGATATCAATATTGAATTGTTTAATACCCGTTAATTTTATTTTCATTTTCTGATGTTCAATTTTCAATTTTCAACGAAGGAAAAAAAAAAAAACTTGAGTTATATAAGCAATTACATAATCAGTATAACAAAAGTGAATACAACTTTGATTTTATTTTACAAGAAAATAAATATAACTATAAATAGATTAATTAGATATATAATATAATTAGCAGTTTGTCTCACAAATTAAGTTCATGTTTAACAATTGCATAAGTCATAGAATAAGTATATTTTTCTCCTGCAGGTAACATTTCACTATGATCGAAATCAATAATCCAAAATTTCTAGTTTGTTTCATCAAATCCAATGCTCCTTTCTGCAATATCATTCTGATTAATACCAATTCCTAATAATCTATTGTATTGTTCAACACCCAATTTGATATGATCCTCTTTTGAAGGTTTATTCTGGATACAATCAACATAGCTCTCTATGATAAATGGACCATTATATCCAAAACTTGTAAGCATTCCAAAACCTAATAAACTTGGGGTGTTTATTTTATCATCATCATTATTAATTGAATCATTGTAATCCTGGAAACGTTTCATTATTCTCAGTTCTTTCAAATATTTATCATTATAAATATATTTTGAATAATAATTTTCAAAATTTCCATCATAAACCCAACTATATCTTTGATTAAATTGGATTTGGGACCATTCAACATCAAAAATCTTTAATACCACTAGCTCATCATTTGATTCTTTATTTATATTCAATATATTTAATTGTTCAAGTGTAGATTTTTGGAATAATAAAACAACTGATGGACTATATTCATCACCATTTTTAGAACTTGATAAAATATCTTCATATGGTAATTCACAGTTGTAAGATTTGATATCACCAGATGGGACCAAACTATTATCAGATGAAAAAGAAGAAGAATTGTTTTTATGAACAGCTTTAAGAAAATTTATGTGCTGTTCTTGAACCCTCCTAGGTTCATACAAAACTTTTCTTAAAAGTTTCCTGGAATCACCGGATGATTTGAAAGGTGTTCTCAAGAGTATTAGCATAATCATTTCAAGAGTAATCTTTTGTTCTATATTCATATTTGCAGCACGCTTTATAGTTGGCTGGTATGTATTATCAATCAATAAAATTTGAAATGGAATTTCTGCAATAGAAACACCATTGGTTTGTTCAATGATCTCTGTTCCTTTATCACCATTCTTTTGATAATGTAACATAATAGTCTGATTATAGTCAGAGATAAATAAAATTTCTGAGCCACAGGCAAGCATTTCCATTATAGCTTTTTTCCAAATACCTTGGTTTTGAAATGAAATCTTATCATTATTTTCAATTTCTTCAGTCAAATTTTTTATTGATGGTAGCTTGATTTCTAGAGGGTATAATTGTTCTTTACCTGATGAGTTAACAACACTAAAAGTTAAATCAGGTATCACAGATTGACCATCTCTAAAGTTTGGAAATTGTCCCTTTAATTGACTAGGTAGTTCAAATATTATTTCTTGGTTTGGATAGCAGTTTAGTACATTAGGACCATAAACAAGGTCGATTAGCATTTTGAATGGTGTGATTGATCTTTCAAATTTCTTTTGTACTTGCTGTTTTTTTGTTTTAACGAAATCATCTTTTGATGTGGCTTTATTTTCAATATCTTCATCTTTATTAACATCTTGTTCTTGAGTTTCTTGATATACATCATACTTCAATTCTTTGGTTGTTGACTCATCATCATAGTTTTCATCCTCAAAACTACTCTCTTCACCATCATCACCACTTTGATCAGTTGATTGATTTTCATCTTCTCTTTCTTTTAAGTTTTCAATATTACTCATTTCATCTTTTTGAACACCAAAGTCTGTCTCACCGATTAGTGATAATGCAACAATTAATTTCAAAATTTCACGTAACTTCATTATAAGCATTGAACGATTTTTTGAATGATATCTTGTTAAAATATCAATGATTTCATTTTCAGATTTAATATAAATTTTTTTCTTAATATCTCTTGATCAAACTTACACGATGGTTTTGGCACCATTTCTTTAAAATTTTTGATCAGGATTGAGCTAGTTGAGTCCCTTGACATGGTAGACCCATATTCACTTTTATGATTAGACTTATCTTCATGGATTATCATGTCCCTTTTGATATCAGGAAGTTTGTTTTTTCGAACAAGAAAAATTAATTTGAACAAATGAACTTCTGTATGGTCATCTTCACCATTGGTATCCAGCTTCTCAAAATATTGACCATTTTCATTGAAGCAAATATCTATAGCATATATGATAAATTTGAATGAATCCTTTTTTAAAAATTTAATCGTTTCATGGTCAAGATCCTTGTAAAAATTGTTAATGTCAACATCTGTTGAAGATTTTGATACCAATTCTAGTTCAAAATTTTGGATTATTTTTTCCTTGTTTTGTGATATCAATTTCTTTATAAGTAAATCATTAGCATCTGATTTGGTTCTCTTGAATGTAGAAGCAACGTTATCATCCTTCAAATCAGTCTTATCATCAGCTTTTTGAGTTTCATGATCATGCTTTCTCTTTTTCTCTGATTTTTCTGGTTCTTCATCATTTGAATTATTTGATCTCTTGATTTTATCCTCCATTCTTTTACTCTCTGAATCCTCTTTTGACTTTTCACTCATCATTGATTGATTCGACGTACCTATATCGTTTCTTGTTCATAATAGAAATTCAAAAAGGTTTTGATTTTATGAGAGTATTAATGAATTATGTATAAGGTATTACACACCCGAACACCACAGTATAATTTAATTAGTACTACAAATTAACAATCAATTTTATTTAGAATTATGACTATTTATAACTATTTATGGTATAGCTTCTAAGATCATTCTAGCTTAAAGACATTTTCTATCCAATGTTTAATCACAACTTTCCCTTCAAAGAGAGTCTTATCATTAAGATCACGAACAATTGAAGCAGAATGTGTACTCTTTGTATGTCTAATCAATAAGGGGAATTTTGACCATTTCAATGAATTTAAATTTTTGATAATTTCTAATTGATCATCGTTTAAATTTATAATGAAAGGTTTTAATGCATCTATTTTATAAAATTCTGAATCTTTATCAAAATATGATAATTCATTTATAGTGGATTTTAAACCTGGGACATTATCATTATCATCAGTTGAAATCACATCAATATTAGTATCAGATTTATCATGTTTTAAATCATAAGCTAGGGATAATTGTGCACTTTTAATTTGATCTTTTGATGTCATGGCATCCCAAACACTTTCCATTAAATTATCAGCTTGATCATGTAATGCACTATTAACATTATAATCAAATTCTTGAAAATTAAAATTCTTATCCAATGAATGAATAGATTCAGCTGGTGTTCTGAAATCCAGTTCACTTAAAGCATCATCTTCATCTTCTTCTGAGGCTTCATCTTCACCTTCCTCTTCAATAATCAAATCTGTTATTGAACTTAAAAAATTGGAATTTTCTCTTAATGTTAAATTTATACGACGATGAGATTTAAATGATTCCATAACACCTGAAATTATAAATCCAATAACCCATAAAGGTGCAAATATGAGCATATTAAACAAGACAATAATCCATTTGGATTTTCTTATCCAAAAATTTTGAACAATTTCCTCAGTTGTTGGTGGAATCAATTCCTTATTGATTGTTCTATTTGATATAATAATCTTGGAATTTGCATCTAATATAATTGGTTCATATGCATCAATATAATTATAGTTCAAATCATTTAAACTTGAATTCTCATCTATATTAATAAAAGGATCACATATTGATATTCCTGCAGTCCACCATGAAGTTCTTCTATCATTTATAGTATTTGCATATAATGATAAATATTTAAATTCTGATAAAGCTTTGAAAAAAACAGAATTTGGTTGAGCCATTGAATATAATAATGGATGTTCATTTGAACCTGATTTATCTTTTAAAAACATTTGTTTACCAGATAATGAAATTAATTTGGGAACTATAGTATTGAAAAATCGAACACTTATATTTGAACCAGGTGTTAATACACCAACATGAGGTGTACAAAAAGTAATAAAATTTATTGGTTTAATCAATTTAAAATAATTTTGATGATATAAGATCCCAACTGCATACCTTGAAATTAATCCACCAAGAGAATAACCAATAATAGAAATCTTGTTAACTTGTTGATCAACCTTCTTTGTAATGATATTAATTTGTTCAATAATTTCATGAGCAACTCTTAATCCACAAACATCAATCCCATCAAGTGTTTTATAACCTTCATTCCCCTGTGTTCTGTAAACAACTAGTTCTTCTTGATCATTGGTTTGTTTGTTTTGTGATTTGAATTCTTCAATTTGTGAATTTATATAATCAAAATGTGTCTTATTACCCCAAAGCCTTTGTACATAGTTAATTAGTACTCATCCTTTAAAACCAAGAACCCCCAGCTATACTCACCCATGAACTAGCACAACCAAATGGACATCAACCATAATACAATGTCCCAATCTATGTCAATCTATCTCTATACTCTCTTATCAATCTACTTGGTGTTTATCCCTCTTTGTGGTTTGATCTGATAATTTCAATTATGGCTGCACACGATAAAAACAATTCGTTATCTATGAGATTATGTAAGCGTATAACAATATCAGACAATTAACAATAATGATATAATAGACAGTTATTGGATGTTGAATGTTCTCAATCGGTGATGCTCTAGTGTCATATGACCAATATAGACTGCCCAGTGTCTTCTTGCCTGAATCCGCCAACGTTTTGACCGACCAATATGTCACTTTGAGATCATTATTATATAATAATATATTTACAAGCTTATTAGATTGTGGTGTCCAGATGTATATTAGGGATTGAATTAATATATAATTAATTAAAATGTTCTCAAAACCTTTTTCAATTTAAACAATCAACAGCAATCGATATATACCCATAAGGGTCAAATAAATGATGAGTGACAAGCCAAAAGATCATACCCCAAGAAGAAGTCAAAGACTGAAAGATAAAGACAAGAAGAGATCTGATACTTTAAGTGATAAAGAATCAGAGAAATTAGAGAAAAAGAGAAAATTACAATATGATGAATTAGCTCAAAATACAGATGAATTATATAAGACAGATCTGCAGGATGATATTGGTGATGCTACCAGAATTAAGAGAGCTAAAGATGAGGTAATTAGACCTCCAGCGCCTGACATTTTTCTAAGACAGAATAAACAAGATAAAGTTAATGTTGATCAAGAATTTTTTGATAGTTCACAAAGGTCAAAAAATAATAACTCCATTATACGTCAATCAGTATTAAACAACAAAGAAATTTTAATAAAAAACTTTGAAGCAGAATTGATTAAATCTTCCATCGATATAGATGTAAGAGATTTTTACAAAAATATTGATCATGAAACTACAAAGATATTCAAAAAAGATTTCTTTATTTTCATCACCACTGCTATAAAGAAATTTTTTGTCAATAAACCTGAATATTTTTTAAATGAATCATCATGTCCTATCAATTTCATACATTTTTTCAAATTGGTGTTTGTAAGTCGTGTTGACAAAATTAATGCAAAATTTAGCGTAATCACAGAGATTACAGAAGATATGAGTACGGTTAATGAAGAATATATCGCTACGTCAACTAATGACACCAAATCCCAAGGAGCGATCCATTCAAAATTTATCGAATTATTTAAAGAGATGGTTCCAAAACCATCAGATGAATTTGATGATGAGGATTTAGCAAGAAAATTCAGATATTGTGAGGAAGAGTTAATTCAGAAATTAGAACAACTAAGGTTAAAAGATCCTTCGACGCTTTTTGAGGATTTAGATAATATTTTGACAAAAATTACTGAAAATGTAATTGATGAGATTGACTTAGTTGTTCATGATGATGATGACACTCAAACAAATTCAACGTCGTCAGGAAGTAAAAATATTGATGAAGAAATTAAATCTCATGAAAAAAATCAAAAAGCTCAAGATAAGAAACTTAAGGAACATAAGGAACATATGAAATATATGAAACATAAGAGAGAAACAAAAATCCAAAACACATTTGATAAATCAATAACTCCATTCAAATTACTATGTAACCTTGTTTATGACCCCAAATTATTCAATTGTTACCAAAATGAAAAGATTACATTTGTGTTACCTGAAGATTTAGAAGAAAAATTTCCACATCTCAAAGACGTTAAAAATGTAATTGAAACAGATCTCACATTTAAAATTCACAATACATCGGGTAATACAACCAAGGCTGCTAAATATCCATTGGAGATAAAGTTACCCAGCATAGCTACACTACTAAATGAACTTGGTAGCCATGATATCTCTTCTCGGAGTCGAGGCATTTACAAACAAGTCATAAATCAAATGGTTGCCTTTAAAACTAACGTTTGTTTTCTGTCTGATCATAATAATATGGTTATCTTATTGTTTCAAGAAAATGGAGAAAATGGTATTACTGAATCTAAATTAAAAAACAGTAATGATTTAATGGTCGAGATTCCTTTTAGGATATTAACAATAGATAATACTTATCAAAATATATTGAAATATACTGGTGATTTAGATATAAAAGATAAACTCACATTTGAAATGTTAATGTTGATAATGATGAGACACCCATTTGAAGCTTTAGGTGACAGCAAAAAACTTTTGGATTTTGTTTTATTAGATCCCAGGAAAATCCAAGAACAACGGATAAGATTTATGAAATCAATTATAAGCTATTTTAATGATGAAGATTTCTTATCAAATGACGATTTTTCAGATACACCCACAATTGTTTCTTCTCAAATTAGACCATCATCATCATCATCATCAAATAATACATTAATTCCAACACCCAATAAAGATTTGAAACAAGATTTGAAACAAGATTTGAATAAAGACTTGAAATTTTTCAACTGTCCAATGATCTTAAAACACGTCAAAGATATATTATCAGAAACAATAACAGGTCAAGAATCAAAACCTTCAGTTTCGTTATTATTACACAGCTCTGAATTGGAGAAATTGAATATTATGTGTATCGATCAAAAATCAAAAAATGAATTAGTTGTATTGAAGATCTTTGATGTTGAATATGCTCATATAAATTATCATAAAAGCTGGATCAAATATCAATATGCTGATTTCAAGGAATTTTACAGAGAAAACATTTATAAAGATGCATTTTTAAAAGAATTGAAAGTAATGAGACGGATTAAAAGCTATAATGATTCTGTTTTTGAAGATAAGAAAATAAATACCTCAAGTTTATTAGGTTTTGGTATTCTTACAAGTTTTGTATATAATGGGCCGTTTATCATACATAGTTATATTGACTGTATAATTCGTCAAAAACCAAAAACAAAAGAACACTTAGAACTTGGTATTCAACAATTTAATAGATTACTTGGTATTGGAATCAATCATAATGATATTGCCAAAAGGAACATTGGGTTTGATGAAGAAGAAAAAAAGTTCTATATCATTGATTTCGATCATAGTGAAATGTTACCTGAAGGGAAGAAGTATAATTATTCAATGACTTATGAAATGCTGAAATGTGAGCTTGGTTTGTGAAGCTATTCATATTTTATTGCTAGTAGAAGTGTATATATAGATATCCATATTAATTGCAGCTAATAAATATATAATATATTGATATATTTACAAATTTTGTAATTTAATCTTTATTAACAATTTCATTAAAATCTCATACATATAAGTAAATGTTCTGTATTAATTCCCAATTGGTACGTGTTCCAATTCTAAATATTGAATTGGATTTTGATTTGATCCATCATCAAAATTTCCTTCACCTTCATGATACATATCTTCAATATTTTTCTTTTTTTTATTTAATTCTTTAGATTGTTTCTTTTCCAATTTCTTTGCCTTCTTTTCTTCTTCCAATTGTTTACCTTTT